TATATTCACTGCTGCCCACCCCCTTACAATCTACTATTGTAGAAGTAAACACTGTAAGGGGGATATGCATGGCCAAAGAACATGAGTGACTACCTAACTGACTGAGCTCTTGGCAACTGAAATAACCACAAACAGACACTTCATAAAAGGAAAAGGCAATTCAAGTAAAAGTCAATCAAAATCTGACTAAGGGTCTAACTCACATAACTAACATATGCATTATGTATCACTGACAGAACTAACAAGTGACAAAATTAACTACAAAAATGATATTAATTCTTAATCATCTTAAAACCAAGTTAAAAAAAACTATCCTCAAATAAATGAAGGCTTATATCTTACCTGACAGCTCTGCAGCCCATTTGTCTGTGTCAGCATATTCAAATTCAAGGTCTGGAGACTCAGAGTAGCCCTTTTGATAAAAGCAGAAATTATGCAAAAGATCATCCTGAATGCAAAGGGAACAGCTTACACTAAGTAAAAGGAAAGAAATATAAATATCACCTGATGTGGAAGAAATAATTGTATTGTCAAAGATTGAAGAATTCACAAATTTTATAGACCATGATAATGACAATGTGCCTTGTGAAGGTTAAATGTGTTCGTGACTTTAAGCGTCATTATTCCACAATACTATGAAATATGTGAAATTTATATAATCATCTAATCTCAACTTTAAAAAAAGTGAGAGAAAAGGGATGGGTTAGGAGCAATGGGTGACAATGTTGTCAGACACCTTGTATTCATATAATGTTTTGTAGAATGGGAATTTCTTTGTACAACTACTTAAAGATATAATAATAAAAAAAAGATCATCCTGAATGCTTTCCAAAGGGAAAAGTACATATGCTTTCAGAAACTGTTGTGTCGTAGGATACCATTGCTTCCACTTTTTTGATGTCTTATCACCTTTGTCTCCTGACCTAGGTCTCCCTATTAAGGCCTGTCAGCACCTTATACTCTGCCTTCAGAACACTTTCTGTAATTATATATTGGCATATTTGTTTAGTGTGTGCCTCTCTATGAGACTACAAGTTCCCTGAGAACAGGAAGTTATCCACTGTGCTCACCAATGATTCAACAGTACTTAGAATGAATAAACAATGAATGGCTTGGGTGGGAATGTGGCTTAATGGTAGAGTGTTTGTGTAGCATGCATGAAGCCCTGGATTCAATTCCTCAATACCACAAACACAGGAAAAGCTGAAGTGAAGCTTAGCTCAAGTGGTAGAGTGCTAGCCTTGAGCAAAAGCTCAGGGACAGTGCCCAGGCCCTGAGTTCAAGCTCTAGGACTGGATAAAAAAATAAAATAAAATAAAATGAATGAATGGCTTGTATTCAAATATATACCTGTTATATGAGTGAACAAGACTTTATTTTGTACAGGGAATGGCTTTTGCATATAATCCTGAAAATTCAGAAGCCCAGCTTCTTCCTGGAGAGTGAGCTGTCAACAGCTCAGGACAAAATGAGTATGTAACCCTCAGCTTCCCTGCTCTTGTTTCAATTTTCAGTGAGATGAGAACTGACAGATTGAGGAGGCAGAAATGGAACAGCTTGGCCTCCCTCCCACTCAGAAGAGGAGACAAAGAAAATCTTTTTACAGCTAGAGAGGTGATTACAAGACACTGCCATCTGGAAGCTTTGTATTCAGAAGAGGGCAAAAACAAGGAAGAAATAGGTAAACTCCCTAAGCCTAATTAAAATTTACTTGTGCAGGCAAAAAATATAGCTCAGTGGTAGAGCACTTGCTTAACATGTGCAAAAGCTTTGGGTTTGATATCTAGCATTGCAAAGGGGGGGAGAACAGGAGAAAGAGAAACATAAGAGATTGGGGATATGACTCAAGTGTTGAGGTTCCAGAGTTTAATTCCTAGTACCACAAAAAAGAAAAAAAAAAGAGAAATAACATCTTACAAATGATGAGGACAAAGGCCACCCACAAAATGACATAACTATAAATAAGAGCTGTACTCCTTATTCATAGACAATAGTATACAATTTCACGCATTACTAGGCTTTCATTTCTTCATTTATGGAAGTGACAAAAATCTACCTTTGGGGCTTTTTTTCTCATTTTTTGAGGGGAGGGGTGCTGGGGTTTAAACACAGGGCTTCACATTTATCAAGCTCTACCACTTGAGTCATGCCTCCCAGTCCCTTTAGCTTTAGTTACTTTTCAAGTAGGGTCTGGTGTTTTATACCTCATTGGCTAGAACCAAAATCTTCTAACTTATGTCTCCCATGTAGCTGATAACAAATACTCCCCCATTCCGTTTTTTTCATTGAGATGAGGTCTAATTTGCTGCCTAGGCTGGTCTTGAACAGCAATTCTTCCAATGTTCAAGTTCTCTGTTTTGAGTTTTTTTTCTTGTCAATCTTGGGGCTTAATCTCAGGGCCTAGGCCCTGTCCCTGAGCTCTTTTGATCAAGGGTATCATTTTGAGCCTCAGTGCCACTTCCGATTTTCTGGTGCTCAATTGGAGATAAGAGTCTAATGGATTTTCCTGCCTGGGCTGGCTTTGAACCACGATCCTCAGATCTCAGCCACCCGAGTAGCCAGGGTTACAGGCATGAGCCACCAGTGCCCTGCTTGGTTTTGAACTTTTTGAGACAGATCTTGTTATATAGTCCTAGCTGACCTGGACTTACTATGTAGTCCAAGTTGGCCTTGAACTCATGATTTTCCAGGCTCAGTCACCTAAGTGCTGGGTTTATAAGCACGTGCCACTATATCTGTGACCTTGAACTAATCAAAACTGCAGAACATACAAAACACTCTAGTCAAATATCAGCTTCCCTGTCTATCAGGTACTGACCAAGCTCCAAATTACTTACATCAGCTACAACTAGAGGAAGTGTGCAGCCTCAGCATTTGTAATAGGTTTAAACAAGTCTCCCAGTGTATTTGATTGGCTTTTCATGTACACAGTCTACGTGGAAATTAAAGGATAGAAAGAGAAGTTAAAATGTACCATAGGAATCAGGGGTATAACTCAGCAAGAGAGAGCTTGCCTAGCATGCTCCAGGTCTTCAATTTGATCCCCAGCATCACAAAAAAATGAAGTAAAACTAAATAATATGCATCCAAGGGTATTTTATCTGACTGGGGCTACTTAGGAAAATTTAAAACTATTTTTTAAACAGAAGGCTGGGATACAGCTCAAGTGGTAGAGGAGATTCCTGAGTTCAATCACACACACACACACACAAACACACACACACCCCTTCCTTCATGAGAAGATGGGTTCATCATCTCATTACTTTCACAATCCTCCAAACTTCAAAGAATACTGAGTAGGAGCTGGGCACCAGTGACTCACACCTGTAATCCTAGCTATTCAGAAGGCTGAGATCCAAGGATGGTGCTTCAAAGCCACTCCAAGCAGGGAAGTATGTGAGATTTTTATCTTCAATCAACCAACTAAAAGCCAGAAGTAGAGCTATGGCTCAAGTGGTAGGAGAACCAACTTTGAATGAAAATGCTAAGGGGCTCTGCTCAGACCCCAAGTTTAAGGCCCAGGACCACACACACACACACACACACACACACACACACACTTTCTCTCCACACACACACACACACACACACACACACACACACACACACACACACTTTCTCTCTCTACCCGTTTCTTTGCCTTTTTAAATACAAACTCAAGATATTTCCCTCTACTTTGGGCTTACCAATTTTTGACATGTTTTAATCATAGACAGGCTTGCAACAAACAAAAATACCAGACGTTTGAGAGGAACTGATTTCATGGGTCTAAAGATAGTATCATCATTCTTCGTAAGAGCTGAGGCACCATGCTTGGACCATGAAGAATTTCCTCTCATTAGTTAAGTGCCTGCTCATCAGGCTGGGAGTTGTCTCAGGTGAAGCCGCCTGCATAGTAAGTGCACTGGAAATAGTAAATGCTCTGAGAACGTGATGATTAAGAAACCCGAAAATGCTGCGATATGTGTGTGTGTGTGTGTGTGTGTGTTCCTCCATTCATGAATTCTGCAAAGGGAAGCAGTGGGAGGAATTTTAACTTGGGGTGAACAGTCAGCTCCAGACGACGGTGTCTCCTCAAAGGGAGACACCGCACATGAGCAAGGGAGGAGGGTGAATCCAGCACCCGAACACACTTCCAGTATGTATTTCTGATAGTTCACCAGTTCCGACATCACACTCACTGGAACACGAACCACAAAGGCGCCGTCTGCCCGTGGCCAGAGCCTGCCCAGGCTCAGGTGGGTGGGAAGCTGGTAGGTCTCCCTTACCACGCTGACCATCTCTGGGCAGCACAGCCCGAGCCGTGGATAGCGAGCTTGGCTCTGAGGGCCTTCTGCGCCCCCCCCCCCCCCGTCCCTCCCCTGCCCACACGCGCCGCCCCGGAGCAGCGGCCCCCGGGTGATCAGATGTGGGGGGAGCCATCGCACGGATTTCAGGGGCGCTGGGGGGGGGGGGGGACCGCCGAGGGCCGGGACCAGGCCACGCCCACAGGGCCGCGGCCCGGGGAGCAGAGCCGCCGGGCGGGGGAGCGCGGCGGGGCTCCGGGCTCCCGCCCCCGGGCGCGGCGATCTCCAGCCAGTGACAGCTCCCCGGCCAGGGCTGGACGAGTCTTCCCGCAGCCCGGCTTCGCTGGTTCGAGGCGGCCCCAGGAAAGACGGTGCCGCCGCCCGCCCCGCGCTAGCCTCGCCCCCCGAAGCTCCTGACCTCCGAGTCTTTGCGCTGGTTGCGGTTAAACTCTCGAGCCTTGCCCCCCGGAAGAAGACCTCCGCCAGCCCGCGGTGCCCCGGGCGGAGGCTGCGGGGTGGCGGGCGGCGGAGGTGGCGGCGGCTGGGGCTGCTTGTTGTTCACAGTCAACGGGCCGGGACCGGCGAGCGCCGGCTCCATCTTGGCTATGCCACACCCCCTGCTCAATTCGCGGACCGTCGCCGTCCTGCAACTCTCGCGAGATTCCCACCCCCTCCCCGGCCCCAGGGCGCCATATTGAGTGTGGCGGCCAGTGCCGAACGCCATCTTGGCTGCTTGTCTGTCACTGCCTGTGATCCCTCAGCCAGAGAAGTCTCTTCGTTTCCCCGTTGGTTCCCTTTCGGGGTAGGTGTCATTCTGTCTGTCCTTAGGTGTCATTCCACCCCAGTGCCCTCCGTTGGGCTGACCTTCCTCTTTGCACTTGCCACAGCCCTCTTCAGAGCCCGCAGGAATGTCAGATCCTAGTCGGAGCGGATACACACGTCCTGGAGAGGTACAGACAAGTGAATACAGAAGACACCCAGCATTTGTGTGTTTACTGGGACTTGAACTCAGGTACTCAGGAGCCAGGGAGCTTTGTCTCCCATCCAAGACACAGTTCTGACCAATGAATTCAGCAAACATTTAATAAATGTCTCCTATGCTGCAGCCAGCAGAATAGACTGGAGCAGTCACGGTGCAATGACAGTGCCTAGTAGGCAGAACTGTACGGCATACTATATTGAATAAATCACGGGTGAGGGAGGAATGGAGAGGGCATGGTTAATGGAGACCAGAGTACGGATGGATGGAATAACTTCTGATGTTAGATGAGCACACTGTTGACAACAATGAATTTAACAGTGCAGAATAAGTTTTTAGAGAGGATTTCAAATGTTCTCAATGCAAGGCAACGATATAAAACAATAAGGCAATTACTCTGACCTAATCAGCGTACAGTGTATACATGAATTAAAATGCCACACTGCATTCCCTAAGTGTGTACAATTATGTATAAATTAAAATATGTTATTTTTTTAAACAGTAGGTAAATAAGTGCAAGAAGTATGTGCCAGTGGCACACACCTGTAGTCCTACCTATCCAGGAGGCTGACATATCTGAAGATCATGGTTCAAAGCTAGCCTGGGCAAGAAAGTCTATAAGACTCTTATTTCCAAGTAACCAGCAAAAAGCCAGAAGTGGAGCTGTGGCTCAAATGGAAGAGTTACATCCTTGAATGAAAAAGCTAATGGAGTTAAAGGACAGCACCCAAACTCTCAATTCAAGTCCTAGTACCATCACTGAAAAAATAAGATAGTAGGACAGGCCTTATTCAAAGAAGAACATGGTATTATGTATTGGGACCATTCCAACCAGGTCTTGCATTAGGAGAGAGATTGAACCTTACTCTTAATCTAACAGGGACAAGTGGAGATTTACCAACCAAGGGAGTGGGAAGGATCAATGGATGAAAAGAAAGAAGGAAGGAAGGCAGGAAGGAAGGAAGGAGACAGAAAGAAAAAAGAAAGAGGTTTGGTAAATGATAAATTGTTGGTTTAGAAAAATATAATTTTTTTCTCAGAGTTGTCAGCATGAAATATAACACAGACATATAACTTTTCTATTTAGGTTTCCTCTTTCAGGAAGGATAGGTGATAAGACAGAGAAATTACCACCCTTGTATTTCTGTCACTTGCTATTTCTATAGCGCCAGGAAAAACTCAGATGCCTCTTCCCATGTGCAGTCATACACAACTTCTTAGGACTAAGAGGGCTATCTAACTTATTCCTCTACTGGTAATCCTTAAAATTACGTTGAATATAAGAGTCAAAAATAGAAGGAAAAAAAAAGGGGGGGGGGCTGGGAAGGTGGCTCAGTGGCAGAGTGCATGCCTTGCATGCATGAGGTCCTGGATTCAATTCCTCAGCACCACATGAACAGAAAAAGCCAGAAGTAGAGCTATGGCTCAAGTGGTAGAGCGCTAGCCTTGAGCTGGAGAGCTGAGGGACAGTGCCCGGGCCCAGAGTTCAAGCCTCATGATCAACAAAACAACAAGGAAAAAAAAAAAAAAACAAAAAACCTGGGTGCCTTTGGCTTACGCCTGTAATCCTACTGGCTAAGGAGGCTGAGATCTGGGGATCGTGGTTCAAAGCCAGCCCAGGCAGAAAGTCCTTGAGACTTATCTCCAATTAACCACCAGAAAAACCAGAAGGGGTGCTGTGGCTCAGGGCTAAAGCACTAGCCCTGAGCTGAAGAGGTAAGGGACAGTGCCCAGGCCCAGAATTCAAGCCCCATGACCTACAAAAAAGAAAAGAAAAAAAAAATCTTCTGCTCTTGTCTACAAAAATTTGTCACTAAGCATAGCAACTGCTTTTAAATGAATAGTTCAGGACAAGTCCAAATTAACATCCATAAATAACTCATATAGCCTCTCAAATTAAAATACAGACTTTCCAAGGATGGCTCTCATGGGGAGAGCTGGTACTGGCTGTCTTGATCACTAGCTTTCCTGGGACTCCTATCTAGTCTAGGGTCCCAGAGTCAGCTTGCTGATTTAATCCCCACCCATGTCCCCAACTGTTTACAAAAATCTGGTACTATTCGTTGATACTGTTTTTCCAATGTGACATACAAATTTCTGCCCCTGTTGCAATAGTCTCATTAAACTCCTTCTTAGAATGTGACTCTCCCTCCAATTTCTGTCATCCAGGTAACACCTTCATAATACTTCTCAGAACTGACCCTACCCCCAAATTCCCATAGTCCACGTAATGTGACCCATGTGACTGCACATGTGACCCATGTGAATGTCCCCTAACGTATTTTAAATTTCTGTCCACACCTGTCCATGGCTGCTGCCTCCATTCCTGCTTGGAGCAGCCTGGCAGGTCTGTCTCCCAATAAAGTCTTGAGCTTGTATCACTCACTTTTGCTCACCTCTCATTTCTTACATCTAGTATAATTCTACTAATATTTGGCACCTGTCTTCTCAATCAGCTTGTTAAGTTTGTTTCTTCCAGATTGGTGACCATCAAGCTACAAACGGGCATTAAAAAAAAAAAAAGAGGAACTTCATATAAACTCTGGGGTTTAACTGTGATCCGTTGGAACAGAACACAATTCATGACCCATCTGGCAAAAAGACCCTTCCTAGAGGATCCCAGATTGTCATACCCTGTTCTGCCCCCTCTCAGGAGGAAGTAGTCTGGAACAGTAATTGTCCCAGTTCACTAAGAGCAGTTGGGGTTACTATCCAAGAGGCAGAAATGAGGAGGTGGGGTGGGAGGGGGAAGAGAGAAGCTATTAAGTAGATAGGGATAAAAAGTGATGGAAATAACATATGGCAGATAAAATGTGGCTCGTCATGGCACTTCTTGTTTCCATAGTACCTCAGGCTTCTGCTTAAATGCTTCTTCCTACCCAAATGCTTCTGCTTCCTTCTCAAACATTTCCTCCCATAATGACCATAGCTCCTGCTCAACCAATGAAAATAGCTAAGTGGTGCATGCACAAGCCATTAAGCATCATCCAAAAGCCCTGGGGAGAAGATATGGGCAGAGCCCCACACTATAATAACCACTCTCCAAGAGGACTCCATTGAACTCCCTCTTCTCATGGAGAGCTACTTTTTTCTAAGGCTTTCCTTTCATTTTCAAAGAAACTTACTCTGCTTACCTTAAACACTTTCCTACCTTTTAATTCTTCAATGGATAGAGAAAATGAATCTGTTCTCCTAGAGGGCATCAAGATAAATTCATATTATCTGTGTTACAAAATTAATTTGTAAGAAAAAACATTTTTATCATTTTTATGAATGATAGGATAAAGGTTACTGGTTAAAGATTTTTTTAACCACTATTTGAGAAAAAGACAGGATTTTTATTTAGCCCATATTCAAATGGCTTTTTTTTCCTCTATGAGTCATTTTTTCTGAAATTTGCATTTAAGCCCTAGAACAAACAAGATAGAAAAAATGTACATGTAAATGTATGTAAATTGTTTTTATTTTGTCTTATTTTATATGTGGGAGAAGAGGAATGTTGTTTGTTTTGTAGTATGGAAGATCAAAGCCAAGGACTCATTCAAGCTATCCTGGGTTTGTTTGTTTTTGTTTGGTTTAGTCAGTACTAGGATTTGTTAGGCAGGTGCTACCACTTGAGCCAAGCCCTTAGCCCTCTGGTTTTTTTTTTTAATTTTTTTTAACAGTTGTTTTATATTTATTTTTAATTTTTTTATTGTAAAAATACTATACAGAGGGTTACAGTTACATGAGCAAGGTAATGAGTACACTTCCTATTGAGCATTGTTACCCCCTCCATTGTTTTCCCCCTACCATCCCATCCCTTCCCTCCCTACCTTCCCCGAGGTTCTTTTTTTTTTTAATTGTGATTAAGTGATTACATAATTTCCCAAATTTCACAGTATTGTGGAATAATGATGCTCATTTAAAGTCACAAGTTCATTCTAACTTTCCTGGAGCAAATTGTCTATCACAGTCTATAACATATAACGGTGTACACATATACACCATACATGTGATCAGCAGCATGGGGATATTTAGTAGTGGTTCGACCAGATGAGTGGAAGTTCTTTGTTTCTTAAGTCCTGTTAATTTTGTTGTATCACCTAACATTTTGGATTTAGCATCCACTTATCAGGGAGACCATGTACCGTTTGTCTCTTTGCTCTTGGCTTACCTCGCTCAACATGATTCCTTCTAGCTCCATCCATTTCCCTGCAAATGCCATTATTTTGTCATTTCTAATGGCTGCATAATATTCCATTGTGTATACATACCACAATTTTTGGATCCATTCAGCTGTGGTGGGACATCTGGGTTGTTTCCATATCCTAGCTATTGCAAACAGTGCTGCAATAAACATGGAGGTGCACGTGTCCTTGTATATTGGTTCCTGTTGTTCAGGGTAGATGCCTAGAAGTGGTATGACGGGTCATAAGGGAGGTCAAGCTTTAGCTTTCTAAGGACCCTCCAGACTGCTTTCCAAAGTGGTTGTATAAGTGTACATTCCCACCAGCAGTGTAATAAGGTTCCTCTTTCTCCACATCCCCTCCAGCATTTGTCAGCTGATTTGTGGGTGTGGGACATTCTGACTTGGGTAAGGTGGTATCTCAGGGTTGTCTTTATTTGCATTTCCTTCACCACCAGGGATGATGAATATTTCCTCATGTGTTTCATTGCCATTTTTATTTCTTCATCTTAGCCCTCTGATTTTAGGAAGGAGTTTAGGGACATATTTGCCTATTATTAAAGGTCAATATTGCAGCCATTTAGACTTAATTCTTAGTAAGGAGTGAAGCAGTGACTGGCTAGGCCTCCAAAGCCCATCGGAATGTATAAAAATAGTTTATTTCCAATCAGTCTTTTACTTTTTCAACTACTTGGGGGGTCCCTGCGTCTCTTAAGGACAGAGGAACTAGTAGCTCAGACAACTGGAAGTCTGGAGAAGAAAGGGGAAAGTTCTGACAGGGATGGACAGAATGACTGAAGAAGGGACTTGAGAAGGTCCTTAAGTCAACTTAGATATTTCCATGGGAGATGAAGGATAAACTAGAACAGAAAGGCTCACAACCAGCCTGTAAGAAGGACTTGCAAGTCCTTCTCAGGGAGTCAGAAAAGAATCTTCTCAAAACAAGCCTGGCATTTAGTCAGCTTCTGAAAGTAAACTCAGCATCTAAAACAAAAACAAAACAAAACAAAAAAAACCTGGCCAGGCACACAGGTGGCAGGTGGCTTGCATCTGTAATCCTAGCTACTCAGGAGGTTAAGATCTGAGAATGGTGATTCAAAGCCAGTTCAAGCCCCAAAGTCTGTAGGACTTTGTCTTCAATTAACTAGCAGAAAGCTGGAAATACAGCTGTGGCTCAAGGAGTAGAGTGCTAGCCTCCCGCAAAAAAGGAATGAAAATCTCTCCTTACAAGTGCTAGT